AGGATAAGAAAGGCCAGTCCTGCTCCTTCTCCTGGTGGGGCAGGCCTTCAGACCCCCCCCCCTCTTCCCAGCTAGTCTCCCCCTCCCCCCATGCAGAACCTGCCAGTTCTCCCTCCTTTCCCCTCCCCCACTGCTGAAACCTGTCAAGATCTTTTCACATCTCTTTAAATATATCCTCCCCCCCCCCGTTGAGTCATCCCTTCCGCTCCCTCCATCAGGGCTCCCTCCCCCCCACCTCCGGGCTCAGCCTTCTTCCCCTGGACCAGAGGAAGGCCGATCCCAGGGCCGGCTGTGCTCTGGCTGCAGAGGGGGCAGAGCAGGTCCCCCCAGCATTTAGGCCTCTAATTGCAGTCGGGGGAGGGGGGGTCGCATACCTACAAGGGCTGAGCATGAGAAAGCGCCCCCTCCCCCAAGGCTGGCCCAGCAACAGGGAAGCAGGAGACTCCTTCCCCACACCATGTCTGTTGGGCCTCCCTTGATCAGCCTCCTCCATCTGGCCCTCCTCCCTGGAGGCCCCATGGCATATTCTTCCCCCACCCCCCGATTCCCATCAGATCCTTGGCCCGGTTGCCCAGGGGCCAGAGGGGGCTCAGGGGCAGCAGCAGCTGCCTTGGCACGCTAGGAATGAATGGGGCCCTTAGGGTCCATTGCAACAGGCAGGGGGGACGGGCAGGCAGGTTCCAGCAGACTGAGACAGGGCAGGGGGGCACAGAGCCAACAGGTCGGGCATCTCTCAGCTGCAGCCTTGAGTGTCTCTTCATTTCAGGTTCTGGGAGAGTTCCACCCCCCTCCCTCCCTCCCCAGGGATCACTCAACAAGAACCGGCCTTTTAATTTTCTGCGGTGGCTGGCAAGGCTGCCCATGGACTGCTGGCAGGAAAGAGCGGCCCCAGCGTGAGGAAGATCGGATCATCCCCACGCCAGGAGGGGGGGAGGGCAGAGTCAATAGCTGGAGCAGCTGCCAGCCAGGTCCCTGGCTCCACAGGAGGACTGACCCGCCCCTCGCCCCTGCCCAAAACACACCTGCTGCTCCCAGGCAGCTCCTCCTCCCTCAGAGCCCCCTTGCCGCTCTTGGAAGCCAGGAGGATCCGGATGTTCCTGCTCAGAGCACATACAGGTCAGGGTAGGTGGGTTCCCCCACCTCCACCACCCAGCCTCCTGCAGGGCCAGCTGAGATGATCAGCACTTGACCCAGGCACAGGGCCCAGCCAGGAAACAGCTGTAAGAGCCCACGGAGTGCTCTGTCCACTCGTCCTGTCCAGCTTCACGCCCTCTAAGTGCCAGGCCCTCAGCCCTTGCCTGCTCCCGGAGCACTGCTCTGGCTAGACAGCCCACCTAGGGCACAGCTCTGGCCCTCTGGCCCCTCGATTAAGGCTGAAACATATGGAGCCAGCAATGTGCTGTAGCCGCTGCAAAGGCCAACCCAGTCCTAGGCTGCATCAACAGAGGGGAGAATCACGTGAAGTCTTCGTACCACTTTATAAGGCCTTGGTAAGATCAGACTTGGAATCCTGCATCCAGTTTTGGTCACCAAAATATAAAAGAGGTGTTGAGACTCTAGAAATTAGAGTGCAGAGATGATTCGGGGGCTGGAGGCTAAAACATACGAAGAACAGTTCCAGGAATTGGGTATGTTCAGATTAATGAAGAGAAGGACCAGGGGAGACATGATAGCAGCCTTCCAGTATTTGAGGGGCTGCCCCAAAGAAGAGGCAGTCAACCTATTCTCCAAAGCACCTGAAGGCAGGAGAAGAAGCAACGGATGGAAACGAGTCAAGGAGAGAAGCAACCTGGAACTAAGGAAGAAGTTCCTGACAGTGAGGACAATTAAGCAGTGGAACGGCTTCCCTCCAGAAGTTCTGGGAGCTCCATCACTGGAGGTTTTCAAGAAGAGATTTGCCCAGAAGGGTTTAGGGTCTCCTGCTTGGGTGGGGGGTTGGACTAGAGGACCACAAACATCCCTTATTCCGTCGGCCTCCTGCTCAGGCGCCTGCAATGTCAGCAGAGGAGCAGACTGGCAAAGGATCTCTCTCCCAATCAGGCTTCCTGCTTGGTCTGAGATGGCTCCCCCATCTCCTCCTGGAGCAGGTGCCTCGGATGGAGGGATCCAGCTATGGAGAAGTCAGGGAACTCAAAAGGAGAAGGACTCCCTTGACTGTTGATGGCAATCAAATGTGGCCCCTGGAGGGACTCAGGTCCAGAACCCAGCTGTCTCTATGCAGCCCCCCCCGCCCCTGCCCCCCAGAAAGAAAGGCTCCCTGGTCTTGAAAGGGTGGGGGACGGCCCAGCAGAGGCTTGCAGACAGCAGCCCTGGGGAAGGCGGCTAAGAGGGCTCCTGCTTTGGGGCTCTTGTGTGGGTCCTGCAGAGCAGGGAGATTTGGGGCAGCCGAAGGAAACCAGCACTGCAGAGCGAAGCTGCTGCTCTTCCTTCCATGCCAGGGTGCTGTCCCGCCGCTGGTGGGCATCTGCCTGATGCTGAGAGAAGACAGCCAGCCTGCCGAGCCCCTTCAGGGTTTGCCCTGCACCACCTGCCAAGCAGAGCAGGGTCTGCAAAGACCTCCGTTCCGAGGAGCAGCAGGCTTTGTGGGTGGGTGAATTATACTTCCTAGCGGCTCTTTAGTCATCATTTCCCAATCAAATCTGTCATATTTTATATGTTTATTGCTTTTGATTAAAAAAAAACAAGCAATGAAAATCACCAGCCTGGGTGTCACAGAAACTTCAGCGTCATGGATGGAACTGCAGCTCTCCCCCCACCCCCATTAAAGCCATGCAGAGATCCCCAAGTCCATAATTGCTCTCCCAGCCTTCGCCCACCTGGTCTGTGCACCCATCTCCCCCAGACCCTGCTTTTTTAACATGGCAACTGTGCCAAGACAGGAAGACATGGAAACGAGGGTGGAAGCGCTTGCCCCCAACCTGGCCTTGTCTTGCCAGGGGCCATCATGCCAAGGGGTCAGCTGTGATTTGGCCTCCAACACACCTGTGGCTCCCTTTTCTTCCACCTTTGGGGAAGGTGAGACCCCAGGCACAGAAGCCTCCGCTTCCTTTTGGGATCCCCTGTCCGAGGAACCAAGAAATCCCCCCACCCCCAATCACCTGATCTCCATCTTGGAGGCACCTGACCTACATTCAGCCAGAGATTTCACTACAGCTCAAAACGATTCTCCAGTAATTGTATCCCATATTTTAGATCAATTAAATACATCTCTAAAATAAACCTGATTATAGTACTCTAAACTGCTTTATTCCATTTCTCTGCTTCATGGCATTGCCACCCCAGACTGGGAACATGAGTTCCCACAGGTGTCCTTGGCCCTCAGGGAGGCTCTGAGGAGCTTTGGGTAGGGGGGATTCTGGGGGGGGAACCCAGTCAGTCCTGCTGCTCAGCTGGACTAAATACCACAGGCCCGTCCTGGCAAAAGATGCTGGGCAAACTTTTGGGATGGCAAAGACTTCTGCAGAAGAAGACCCCATACCTCAGTTCCCCAGAATATGTTCCATCCGGCTGGAGGGACTGTGACCCATACCAAATGCATCTGCCCTTAGATTTCCATCTCCTGGCCCTCATCACCAGCCTCCCATAGTGGCTGTGGGGCACTGGGCATCACAGTCTGGAGAAATGCCTGGCTCTTACCAGGTCACCCCCACCCTTTGCTCAGAACTGCCAGTTCCAGGACGTCCCTTGCCAAATGCCACCGAGGAGAGCCGGACCTCAGCTGCAGAGCCCTTGCACCAGGGCTGCCCAAATACCCTTCCACCATGTCTAGCTGGGCATAGCCACTGGGCAGGAGCCAGGGGGCAGCAAGACCTCAGTTGGGCAGGCCAGCCCCATCTCAGCAGGACCTGGAGCTGGTAGAGTCTGAAGAAGAGATGGGAGGGAGCGGGAGCCTCCAGCCAGCCAGGCAAGGAGATGGTTCTGCGCAACACTCACTCCCCCCACAAGGCTCCTGCAGCGCTTCCTCCCCAGATCCATTGCCAGCAGCCCCTTCACCCCTGCAAGGAGGGGGGGTCCTCGAGGAAGGACAGAACAGCCACACCAACCCTCTTCCCAACTGCAAGGGGAAAGGGGAGAGTTGGAGGTGCCCCCTCCAGTCAGATGGCATCTGCCTTGGCTCATGCCATCCCACACATTCCCTGTAGACACGCAGGGCCCAGGATCCCTGGTGCCCCGGCCTTTTTCTCTGTTGATCTGGGCTGGCACCGGGCAGGGGGCAGTCGTCCAAATTCCAGCCATCCAGAGGACAGCTGCACAGTTGGCTGCCCTTCTCCCGTGGGTGCCATTGCCAGGGCAGCGGGGAGGAGGGGGGCTGCAGCAGGGGGCCGGGTTCAAATGTTTTGCTTCTGGACAGCGCAGCTCAACCGGCGCCGCGCTGGGTCTGCAGCAAAGGATCCGTCCCTGAAGACACGGCAGCGGCGGGCAGGGAGAGGGTAGCCCGCCCGCGACTGCCCGGCACCCTCAGCCTCTCGGCGAGGCAGCAGCGCAGGCTCAAAGGCCGCGGGAGAAGGAGCGTCGCATTCTGGGCCGGAGAGATGGGGGGTCTCTCTGTGGCGCAGAAGCGACCCCCGGCAACTCGCCCAGCGCGGAAGTTGAGCGCATGGGAGCGAAGGGCGGCCGGCGCATCCGCAGCGGGGGCGGCGCCTTCCGAAGGGCCACGGGGGCTTTCCGCGGAGCCGGGGTCCGCAGCGGCGCCTGCCCAGCCGCCCTGGCAGCCCAGGCGAGGGTCCCCGCCGCTCCCTCGCCAAAATGTCTCCCTCGCGAGTTGCCACCATTTTCGGGCGGGCGGGCGGCGCGCAGCTCGGAAGATGCCAGCCTGGACGGCGGCCGCATTCCAGCACCCTGGACAGCGGCAGAGGCCGCGCCGCCGCCAGCGCTCCGCAGATAAAAATAGCCGCGGCGCCCTCCGGCTCCGCTCTCGCCGCCGCCGCCGCCGCCGCCGCACATGGCCCGCGCGGGCGAGGCAACCGGGGCGCAGAGCCGGGCTACCCGCGCGCTCTTACCTTGGCTCGCCCCCCCCTCGCCGTCCTCGCCGTCCGTCAGGTTGTTGAGCATGGCGCAGCTGGGCTCGCCTCAGCTCTCGGTTCCCGGCTCGCGGCTGCCGGTCCGGAGGCTTCTCCGCTTCTCCTCGTGCTCCGCTGCAGTGCAGAGCAGAGCCGTCCCCGCCGCCGCCGCCGCTGCTGTCACCGCCGCCGCTCAGCCCCCTTCACTTCATCGTGCATTCAGGAGACATCTCTCCGTAGGTTGGGGAGGGGGCGAGATCGGGGGCGCAGCAGTGCAAGCGAGCTGGCCGAGGAGGGGCGAGGAGCGTCCACGAAGCCACGCGCCACCTCCGAGGGCAGCGCAGCTCTGAACCAGCGGCAGAAGAATTAGGGCATCTGGGGGCTGGCACTGCGGCTCTCCCCCGCAATCCGCCTGCGCTGATGCAGTCTCGTCTGGGGCTGCCTGCTCCTCCCCTCCCCTCCTTCCCCCCCCCCCCCCACAGTGGAGTGGAATTTGGGGGAAGAGAGCTGGGGATCAACTCTACCCCTTCCTCTATCTGGGCATTCACACATTCCTTGCCACTTCTGGGTCTAGCCACCCCTGCAGACAGGAATGGTGCAAAACGGGAACTGGCAGGTAAGCCCCCCCCTGCAAATTACACACCGGTTTGGTGGAGAAGGCACCTCTCCAGGGACCCCAAGAATGCTATTCTTGTAGCATGCAGGCCAAGTGACCACTAGGCCCACCCCTTGCCTACGCAGGGGAGAGCTTTGGCAGTGAATGGAGCAGCCTGCCTGGCTGTTTTGCTCCCCCTCCTGGCCCAAGCCAAACTTTGAGCGGGACGGAGGGCCTGATCTTCTCTCCCAGCAAGGGGGACCGCAAGGAAACTGCCAGGAGCCCAACCTTGCTCCTTATCTGCTCCTACGGAATTGGTTCCGGAGGGGGCTCTGTCCATCCCCCAGACCCTGGAGGAGGCCCGGAAAGCCATCTCTGGAGGGGCTGAGTGCCACCAGCAGTGCCTGGGCTCCCCCTTGGGCAGCCTTCGCCAAAGGAAGCAGTGGCCCGGGGGACGCAGACAGTGTCCCCTCTGGAACCAATTCAGAGTCACCTGCTTCCAATGCCAAGACTGAGGCACAGGACATGGAGGGGGGGGGCTGAGGAGATAATGCAACTCCCAACCTTGGCCCAGCCCCTCTTCTGTGACAAGCTGGTCCCCGCACAATCTCAGCTGCCCCGACTGGAACCGCCTGTCTGTGCACACACTCGCACACATACAATGCCAGCCACCTCCTGCTGGAAACGGCTGCCTGAAGGAGCTGCCTACCAGCCAACCACAGCCCCACACGGGGGTCACTTGCCTTCGCTGGCTGTCCAGGAGTTCCATGCTGGTGCAGAGAATGGCTGATCCTGGGCTCCAGCTTGACCCCCCTCCTGCCCTGGCCCATGGAAGGAGGGTCAGGGGGATGTCTGGACTGAGACTGGGAACCAGTCAGCATGAGCAAGACTGGCCAAGTGGGGAAGGGAAGAAGCCTCAGCTCTGCCCTGGGATCCCAGCGCCAATCATGGCAAACCCTTATTACTCCTGGAGGGCTATAATTAAATGCTGGCTTCCTCCTGGGCCCTGGCAGCTGCTCGGCTTTACTGCCAGCCCATCTCCTCCTTGCCCTGTGGCAAGGCCGTGCCCGCTGTGCCCCTCTCCAGATGAGTCCAGCTCAGCTTGCCGGGTGGCTTGGCAAAGAGGAAGGGCAGAACTGCCATAGGGCTCGGGGGGGGGGAGCTCAGCCCCTCCATCAGGCCAGACTGGCCTTCCACTCACTTCAATTCTCATGCCTTCCCATGAAGACGCAGAGCAGACTCCAGCTTTCCTCTGACAGCAACTGCCACACCCACAGGCCAGGTTCCACAGAGGTCTTTCTATGACTGGCTTACTTCTGTCGACCCACTATTCACCAGGGGTCACTTCTCCAATTTGGATGGCAACACCTCCTCCCCCACTGGGTCTGGTCCTATTTATGATAGTTTTCCACATTATATTTGTGGAAAGTAATCTGGTTATTGGGGAGTATAAATACTAAATGCCCATCTGGTATAGGGTCTCCTGTTTGAGTAGGGGGGATTGGCTGGAAGAAGACCTCCAAGGTCCCTTACGTTATTCTGTACATCTCCACCCCAAACCACCCCAATGATGCCCTTGATGTGATGTCCCGCTGCCTGGAGGCCGTGCGGGTCTAGATGGGGAGAAATAGGGTCAAACTCAACCCTTCCAAGACTGAGTGGCTGTGGCTTCCGGCGTCTCGGTATAGTCAACTGGTGCCATTGCTGACTATTGGGGGTGAATCCTTGCCCCCCACAGAGAGGGCTCACAATCTGGGTGTCCTCCTGGACTCACGGCTGTCTTTAGAAGAGCACATGATGGCTGTAGCCAGGGGGGCTTTTTATCAGGTTCGCCTGATTCGCCAGTTGCGTCCCTTTCTGGACCGGGATGCCTTGCACACAGTCACTCACGCCCTCGTCACCTCCCGTCTGGACTACTGTAATGCTCTCTACATGGGGCTCCCCTTGAAGAGCACTCGGAGGCTCCAACTGGTCCAGAATGCGGCCGCGCACCTCGTTACGCCCATGTAACACCTCTCCTGCGCGAGCTGCACTGGCTCCCAGTGGTCTTCCGAGTGCAATTCAAGGTGTTGGTTACCACCTTTAAAGTGCTCCATGGCATAGGACCAGGATATCTATGGGACCGTCTTCTGCCACCAACAGCCTCCCACCGACCAGTTCGCTCCCACAGAGAGGGACTCCTCAGGGTGCCATCGGCCAAGTTATGCCGGCTGGTGACACCCAGGAGGAGAGCCTTCTCTGTCGGAGCCCCTGCCCTTTGGAATGAATTGCCCCCGGATATTCGTAACATCTCTGATCTCTGGGTCTTTCGCTGTGCCCTCAAGACCCTACTGTTCTGACAGGCGGGGCTGTCTAATTGAATGATTTTAAATTGGGTTTTAACTTTGGGTTTTAAAATTTGGCCAAAACTATTTAATGATTTTAATTAATTTTAACTAGGATATTGTATATTTATGTTTTTAATATTGGCTGTACACCGCCCTGAGTCCTTAGGGAGGAGGGCGGTATATAAATAAAATTCTTATTCTTATTCTTATTCTTATTATTCTGAATAGCTTGCCTCCAGAAGTTGTGGTAGCTCCATTATTGAAAGTTTTTTAAGGAGAGACTGGATGACCATTTGTCTGAAATGGTATCGGTCTCCCGCTTGTGTAGGGGGTTGGACTAGAAGACCTCCAAGGTCCCTTCCAGCTCTCATGTTCCATGTTTTGTCTGAAATTTTCATTCCCACTTTAAGGCACAAACTAGGTGTTTCTGTTTTTCCTCTATTTTCAAAACTTTTCCAAGAAATTGTCTACAATTTTGCAAAATAAACCAGTATTAAAACTTACTCATCCAATCAATGAGAGGCTCAGGCCCCACACAGGGCGGTGTTTGCTCTCCCCCCCCCCATTAAGTGAGAGTCTATCAAAACGGGAGATTTTCTAACCTTATGAATGTCCATCACTTTCAGGAGAAGAAACGTAGCCCTCGTGAGGCCATAACATGTCATAAATACAGTAAGAACAGAGGAAAGTACAATTTAACACCTCAGGCTAACAGCGATAACGTGTTATAATAAAAGTGAAGCATTGTTTAAAAATAATCCCTTAATGGCCTGGGGAACCAGAGGGAGGCCAAGAGGAAGGCAGGGGGGGGGGGTGCCCTCGCTGCTTATCCCAAACGGAGAAATCTTGATAAACGAGCCAGAGAAATCAGAGGGACTCAACTCTTCTTCTGCCCCCATCATTACATCCGGAGGAAATTGAGTGGGGGAGGAGAGGGCTGGGTAGCACAGGCTGGGAACAATCAGGGGAGGGTCAGCAGAGATGCAGTAAAAGGACCCTTCTAGCCTTTGGCTTTGATGATATACAGATAGTCCTTGATTTACATCGGTTCATTTAGTGACCTTTCAAAGTTACAGCTGCACTAGGAAAAATGACTTATGTTTTTCACACTTACGCCCATTGCAGCATCCTCATGGCTGCGTGATCAAAGTCCAGACGCCTGACAACTCACTTAAGAACTGTCTCACTGAGCAACAGAAACATTGGGGTCAATTGTCGTCATGACTACCTGTATACCCTAGAATGCTGAAGGAACTGGTGGGAGAGCTGTGGGGCTCTCAATCATCCCTCAGGAGTGCCAGAGGATTGGAGAAGAGCAAATAGGGTGCCCCCCTTCAAAAAAAGAAAAAGAGAGAGCATCCCTCCCATTGTTGACCAGCCAGTCCAACCTCAGACCCTAGAAAGATGCTGAAGCAAACGGTGCTTGTGATCCTCTCCAACCACGACATCAACCACAAAAAAGCCTGTGAAACCTGCTTCGCATGAGTCCTGCATGGAATTTCTTGTAGCTGAGCAGATCACAGGCATCCCAACAATTAGTTAAATCAAGGCCCAGGCTGAGCATGCTGGGTGAAGATGCCCTGAAGCTCAGTCGTATTGGGGACTAAGGAAAATGAGGGTGGCCAGCCTTGCTGGGGGTCTCCAGGGGACTATCTTCATGAGTGGGCAAACATCTTTGAGAGGTGCCAGTCCTTCAAAAAACTGGCTGCTTCCAAAAGGGCTTCAAAGATGGCAACCACAAATTATTCCATTTTTTGGGTTTCCATCAGATATTTCTTCATAAATAATCCAACAGGGAACTGTAACCTTAATCCAAACCAAGCATTATTCCACACTCAGTGAACGCCACCATTCAGCCTTGGATTTTTTGAAAACCCGGCCACCCTGTGGATGATGGCCACCTGATCCGGATATAACCAGGTTGTGAGCAATGATCTTCTCTCTCCGTCTCGCCTTCTTTGAAGGGGACACAGCAAGCAAACCAGCCGAAGGTGATGTGTGACTCAGTGGCCACCTGTAACTCCTCCCAGGGAGACCATCTGGGAAGGAATGGCCTTGGGGGAGGAAGGAGGAGGCAAGCCACCAAGGAGGGTCTTCCGGAAAAGACTACTCAACCCTGAGAAACAGGAGGTTGACACTTAGAATAAACCCACCTGGATTTTGTTTGTTGTATGATGGGACAAATGACTATGGATGTTCTCAACCGTCCAGGTCATGGTTGTCTCAAATGTGCTTTTCCAAAAGGCAACTGGATTTTCTTGGAGTTTTTTCCCTTTGAAAAAGTTTCACTTCTCATCCAAGAAGCTTCTTCAGTTCTTCTGAAGAATTGAAGAAGCTTCTTGGGTGAGAAGCGAAATGTTTTCAAGGAAAAAAAACAAAGAAAGTTCAGTTGCCTTTTGGAAAAGCACCTTTGGGATATATGATTGGACAAACAGGAACTCTGAAATGTTTTCAAGATCCAGTTGACCTG